ATTTACATAAATGAAGTCATCTTTATATGTTTGGTGCATTGGTATATCCAAAGCACCTACAACAGCTGGAAAATACTGGCCCTCAAAAACATTTTTTAAAAGAGAGAACGTGAAAATTACATTAGTCGATGACTGGAGTGTTTAAGCACAAGAAAAGTTTTTGTATTCTATATTGATTGCCTTATTATATATACGGGGAGGGCCAAAGGTAGGTTTACAGTCGTGAGCATGCAAAGTACAGAGTTTATTCTTTTATTATTCTTTTTGTATTTTTTTCCATGCAAACAACTGTAAACCTACTTTTGCCCCACCCTGCATTAGTACGAACTGTATGACATTGAAATTCTATTACCCTTTACCTACAAAATGGTCATTTCATTTGGTTCAGCCCAATACCTGAAAAAGCTATGAAACATGCAGAAGGATAGAGTTAGAGAAAACGTCCCAGATTTCAGACAGGGCGAGCTGTTAAGGGCCACTAATTAAAATATGGTAAGTTTCAAATTCAATTTATGGCACCAATTATTAGAAGCATGGCTCCAAAAGCTACTAAAACTATTGACTTTTTTGAAAAAATATTTTTATTGATTTTTTATAGAGAGGAAGGGAGAGGGATAGAGAGTTAGAAACATCGATGAGAGAGAAACATTGATTAGCTGCCTCCTGCACGCCCCCTACTGGGGATGTGCCCGCAACCAAGGTACATGCTCTTGACTGGAATCGAACCTGGGACCCTTAAGTCCGCAGGTTGACACTCTATCCACTGAGCCAAACTGGTTAGGGCAAGCAATTGACTTTTCTAAAGCCACGAGACTATAATTCATTTAAGAATCTGAAAATCTTCTAGAATTGTTTCTTAAATTCCTTGAAAATTTTAATAATAGGCCTCTAAATCTCATTTTTTTAAAAATTTGCATGAGAAAATAAATTCAACATAATAACATCAGTGAAAGAAACATACTCTAAAGCTACCCTGATTTATGGGATAAATAATAACTGGCCAGGAGTTAAAAAACAATCACTAACCACCCAAATAATAAACTTAATGT